CCCCCCCCCCCCCCGAGTACACAAATTTTTGTGCACCGGGCCTCTAGTCTCTATATATAAAAGCCTAATATGCTAAGTGTCCGAGCGGTCGACTGACCGGTCGCTATGACATGTACTGACCACCAGGGGGAAGATGGTCTGACAGGTAGGTTAGCTTGCTGCTGGGGTCCTGCTGATCAGGACTGGGTGAGACAGGGCTGGACATGCCCTGGAGCCCTCCTGAGGTCCCTCCCAGGCCACCGGCCCTGGGACTGGGAGAGATGGCCCTGAGCAGCCCCAATCGCCAGCAAGGCGGAGGGACCCTGCCCCATTCTCAATTGTTTGTATGCTTTGTAACTTCATGGTTATGTTAGTCCTTTTCCTGGAACATATTTCTCTAATTTCCTCATTGAGGTAGTATTTCACATCTCACCTCCAGGAAGTTTTCACTAATCTGTCACGCCATAGGTTGGATGAGAAGTACCCCCCCACCCCCCGCTTTTTTTTTTCTTCCATAGCAAGTCTTTGATATCTAATAAAGAAATATTATGTTTTTATCTCATAGGTTGTGAGAATCTTGGGAATTAGGTTCATTCTTTTGTCCTTATTGCCTAGCACAGACATGCAAAACAATGGCAGTCATAGACATGAGCCAGAGTTACTGGTTAGTTCTAGAAGGGAGAGATCAGTGGGGAGTAGAGTACTAGGGAAGGCTTCATAGAAATTGTGACACTTAAAGCTTCCTGTAATTCCTTGGTGGATATTGATGAATGTGTAAGCACCTTATTTTGGGCAGGGACAGCCTAAGACAGTAATGGATTTTTTTGGTGGTGTCTTTCTACAGGTTGATATGTCACAACTCTCCCCAGAGGAGCAATGGAGGTAAGTGTGACAGTGTGGGCCCCTCAGGCTGGGGACTATCGGGTAATCCAACTAATAGAGTTCTATTCTTTTTGCTTCCTTGTCTGTGGGAGACAGTGACTCATGACCAGTAGGCTAGGTCTTTGGGATTTTTTTCTAGTACATGGGTCACTTCTGGGTAGCTCCCTTGGTCCTGGGAAGCAAATGCATAATTGTACCAAACTATCCACCTAGGTTTTAATACTAGTTGTACCATTTCCTAGCTATGTGATTTTGTGCAGGTTACTTAACTTGCCTTAGTTTTTTTCATTTGTCAGGTGTGGATCAAAATAGTACCTGTACCTCATAGAGTTGTGAGGATTAATATATGTGAAATTCTTAGAACAGTGCCTGGCATGTGGTAAGCTCCAGTGTTAGCTACTTTGAAGATGATTATCATCATTAACATTATCATCATTATACATGAAATAGGGTAGAGGGATCTGACTGAGAAAATGGGAGATCTCAACTTGCTGGTAACTTGCTGTGTAACCAGAGTGGGCCAACAAATATCTTATTGTCATGATTTCTAATTAGTAAAGGAGTTTCAGAGTGATTGCCCCACAAACTTCACAAGATGGCTGACCAGTGAGAAGTCAACCAAATAAAACCTAATAATGAGAAAAAAACCTTTTAGATTAAAACTATTGATGGTAAAATATTGAATGGCAAAGATATTAATGCATACGACAAACCCAACAAGATTTTAGATGACTTTAAGCTTAATATACACCAGTTGTGTACCTCAGCTACTGAAATAATTCACATGATTTGGAAGATGTTCATAGAAATATGTTATCAGCCTTAAGATAGGGACAGTGCCATTGTGCTCTGCTACACTGAGGCCACACTGGATGTTGTAGACCAGCCGTGGGCAAACTACGGCCCGCGGGCCGGATCCGGCCCGTTTGAAATGAATAAAACTAAAAAAAAAAAAAGACCGTACCCTTTTATGTAATGATGTTTACTTTGAATTTATATTAGTTCACACAAACACTCCATCCATGCTTTTGTTCCGGCCCTCTGGTCCAGTTTAAGAACCCATTGTGGCCCTTGAGTCAAAAAGTTTGCCCACCCCTGTTGTAGACACTACAGTATAAGAAGATCTTTGGCTAAATAATGTCTCGAAGAAGGCAACCAGGATTAATGGTCTTCACATTATGTTATATGAATGGTATTTACAAGATCTAGAACTAAAAATAAATAAAAGAAATAAATACCTAGAACTAAAAAGGCCAAGAAAATGGTGATAGGAACAGGATAGTTTTTGGTTTTGTTTTTAAAAAATAAGATCATGAGCAATCTTTGAAGGGGCAGCATTGGAAAAGAGGAGTGGATATGTCCTTTATTGTTCCAGAGTGTAGGTTTAGGTCCTGGAGCTATAGAAAGATAGATTTTGTATCATTATCTAATTATTAAAGAAATATCTTTAATAATTATGGTATATTAAGAGGTAGAGAACTTCCTGCCCCCCCACCCCCAAATATATCTTTTTATTGATTTCAGAGAGGAAGGGACAGGAAGAGAGAGAAACATCAATGATGAGAGAGAATCACTGATTGGCTGCTTCCTGCACGCCCCCTACTGGGGATCGAACCCACAACCCGGGCATGTGCCCTTGACTGGAATTGAACCCAGGACTGTACAGTCCGCAGGCCGACAATCTATCCACTAAGCCAAACTAGCTTGGGCCCTCCTACCTCTTAAAGCATTGGAATGTTAGTCCTTCATAAGCACATATGAGTACCTACAATGTGTCAGACACTGCTGGTTCTAGAATAGATAACTTTAAGAGGCATATGTTCTTTTTTTTAAAAAAATATATATTTTTATTTCACAGAGGAAGGGAGAGGGAGAGATAGAAACATCAGTGATGAGAGAGAATCATTGATTGGCTGCCTCCTGCACGCCCCCAACTGGGGATCAAGCCCACAACTGGGGCATGTGCCCTTGACTGGAATCAAACCCGGGACCCTTCAGTCCACAGGCTGATGCTCTATCCACTGAGCCAAACCAGTCAGGACAAAGCATATGTTCTTAAGCCAGTGGAAGTATTTCATACAAAGGATATAAAAAATAATTTTTTCATTGAGTGGGAACTTGAAATAGATGTCTTCTTTGGTCTTTTCTAGATTCTTTCATTGTTGTGCACATCCATTCAGTTATATACTGTCTGAGAACAAGAAATGTATTTCTTATCTATAATTCCCACAGTCCTAAGGCATTTTAAAGTGTTACTTGTCCTTTTAGTTTAGCTTATTCTCACAATAAGCCTATGAGGGAGGTGGAAAAGATATGGACTCCTTTTGACAGATGAAGAAATTGTGATGTAGAGTTGTTAACTTTCTTGGTCAAGGCCACAACCTTAACCATTTGTATGTCATAAGTGTCCATAGACGCAAGTGGCAGACCTTTTTAAGTAAAATTAAAAATATTGTGGCAGTTAACTGGTTAAAGTTTCTTACTCCTAACCTTATTATCTTTTTGTCAGATTCTCTCACCCTGGATAGTGTTTTATGTAGAGTGCACCCTTAGGTGCTGTGGCTGGCTGGCTGACTGACATTTGGCTGCCCACTGAGTTTTAGCCCCTAACATTATATAATTAAAAATATTAAACCTACAGAAAACATGAAAGAAATGCACAGTGAACACCCTTACACTCACCACCTAGATTCTACAATTAACTTTTTGCTATATTTGCTTTATTATTTACCCATAATTCATCCCACTGGGTTCTTCTTGCCCTTGGGAACTCCATGAAGATACCATTTATGTTGTCCTTTCCTTCCCTCCCTAATACCCCTATACATGGAAAACTTGTACAAGAGCTACTGACCACAGGCTATATTTGTATTTGGTTTTCTGACTAAGTTTTCCTTATTCTTTTCCCTTGGCTGACTCTGACCCAGAGTAATAGGAGTAACTATTCTTCTCTGTTCTTAGAGAAAGCTTTTTGCCTGTATAGACCAAGGAAATAGTTTGCTGCCAATCCTCTGGACAAGAGAATGCCAGCCTTAGATTAAATAAGAGTTTAAGTCCTTGAGGCTATTTCCCTGTGGATGTTGATGGTGAAGTCACTCTTGAATTAATATAAAGTCAAAGCAGTTTAGATTTTTCAGGCTGTAACTAGTTTTTAGGATCCTTGGTCCTGACAGAGAGGGTAGGATAAATAAAGCAAAACTTTAACCCTAGAATTATCACACATTTGCAGTGTTACTCCTTTATTGGTATCATAAATATCACTAACTAAGATTATGGGGCTTTGTGGCTATAATCTTCTCTTTGGGTTATGTTTTCTTTTCAACGACAGAATTAAATAGGTCTGAAATGGGCAGTGACACAAGCTTCTGGGATCTCTTTCCTGCAACAGGAAAGGTGTTAGCTGTATCTGTCATTGGAGGCAGGCAGCAGACCACCCACATTTAATCCAATAGCTGAGCTTGGTTATTGGGGCCCATAGAACCCCTATTCTATATCAGAATGCCTGTCCTCTGGGGCAGCGGTCGCCAACCAGTGGTCCGTGGACCACTGGTGATCCATGAGGTTCGAAAGGTTGGTGACCACTGGTTTAAGGCAACCTTTGGAGCAGCGGTTGCTCCTGGACCGCTGCTGTAGGGCATATGCACAGTACCCTACTGCTGCAAAATACAGGAGTGTGTTCTGAACTTTGGACGGGTAGAATATCCCTGGGAAGCACTACCTCTTTACCACCACACCAGCCCTAACCTGGCTAAACCCATCTGTTTGACTTTCAGGGTCGAGCATGCACGCATGCATGCCAAGCACCGTGGTCATGAAGCCATGCATGCCGAAATGGTCCTCATCCTCATCGCTACCTTGGTGGTGGCCCAGCTGCTCCTGGTGCAGTGGAAGCAGAGGCATCCTCGCTCCTACAATGTAAGCCATTTTGACTCTCTCTTCTTTGTCTGCCAGTAATCAAGAGACCCTTCCTAAGTATTCTAGGATCCAGCCTAAGCCAAGCCACATGTAGGCAGAGAATGGACAATAATAATGAACTTTATGTATAAGTGGTGAATTGTGTATGGTGGGTGTGTGTTTAAGGTGCAAGTGATTCAGAGGGTGAAAACAGGGATAGAACCTGAGACTATTTTTATGGCCAGAAAAGGTAGGCCCTTCCTTTTAAATATTTTGGGACATATTCATGAAGGAGATATTCATTAGGAACTATTGAAATAGAGGGAGAGAAGTGATCACTTGATTGGGAAGGTGGAGCCTCCAATAAATCTTACAGGTAGGATTTAGATTAATTTTTTTTAAAAGGCAGTATGGAGGAAATGAGGAATAAAAACAAAACATACAGAGAAATACTCATAAATGACAGAAGTAAATCCTTCCTTATCAGCAATTTACTTTATCAGCAAAACTATCCATTTACTTGAAATGTAAATGGATTAAATTCTATTAAAAGACAGAGATTAGCAGATTGTATTAAAAACCCCCACTATGATTCATTTATATATTGTCTGTAAGAGACACACTTTACTTATTTATTTTATTATTTATTTATTTTTTTGTTAATCCTCACCTGAGGATATTTTTTTCCATTGCTTTTTAGAGAGAGTAGGGGCGAAAGGAGGTTGTGGGGCGGGGGGAGAGAAACATTGATGTAAGAGAGACACATTGACTGGTTGCCTCCCACAAGTACCCTGACCAAGGCCGAAAATCAAACCTATAACCTAGGTATGTGTCCTTGACTGGGAATCGAATCTGGGACCCCTTGGTGTGTGGGCCAATACTCTAACCCAGCCGTGGGCAAACTATGGCCCGCGGGCCAGATACGGCCCGTTTGAAATGAATAAAACTAAAAAAAAAAAAAAGACCGTACCCTTTTATGTAATGATGTTTACTTTGAATTTATATTAGTTCACACAAACACTCCATCCATGCTTTTGTTCCGGCCCTCTGGTCCAGTTTAAGAACCCATTGTGGCCCTCGAGTCAAAAAGTTGGCCCACCCCTGCTCTAACCACTGATCAGTACCAGTCAGGGCTATAAGAAATTCACTTTAGATACAAAGACACAGAGATTGAAAGTAAGAGGATGGGAAAAGATATTCCATGTATGCCAACAAATTAGTCAACCTAGAAGAAAATGGGTGTATTCCTAGAAACATAATCTTTCAAGACTGAATCATGAAGAAACAGAAAATCTGAATATACTGATTACTAGTAAGGAGGTTGAATCAGTAATAAAAAATCTCCCAAAAAACAACAGTCCAGGACCAGACGGTTTCACTGATGAATTCTATCAAACATTCAAAGAAGATTTTAGTAGCTATTCTTCTCAACCTCTTCCAAAAAATTGAAGAGGAGAGAATGCTTCTAAACTCATTTTACGAGGCCAGCATTACCTTGGTACCAAAACCAGACAAATATACTACAAAAAAATAAAATTACAGGCCAACATATTGATGAACATAGATGCAGAAATCCTCAGCAAAATATTAGCAAATCTAATTCAATAATACAGTAAAAAGATCATGCTTTGTGATCAGGTGGGATTTATTCCAGGGGTGCAGGGATGGTCCAGCATCCACAAATTAATCGTTGTGATATACCACATTAACAAAATGAAGGATAAAAATTATATCATCTCAATAGATGAAGAAAAAACTTCTGATAAAATTCAACATCTGTTTAAGATTTAAACTCTCAACAAAGTGGGCATAGAAAAAAAATACCTAGATAAAATAAAAGCCATTTATGTCAAACCCACAGCAAACATACTATCATTGGTAAAAAGATGAAAACTTTTTTTCTATGATCAGGAACAAGACCAGGATGCCCATTCTCACCACTTTTATTCAACATAGTATTGGAAGTCCTAGTCAACGCAGTTAGGCAAGAAAAAGAAATAAAAGCCCCAGTCGGTTTGGCTCAGTGGGTAGAGCATTGGCTCGTAGACTGAAGGAAGGGTCGCAGGTTCGATTCTGGTCAAGGGCCCGTACTTTGGTTGCAGGCTTGATCCACGTGTGGGAGGCAATCAATCAATGTGTCTCTCCCACATTGATGTTTCTCTCTCTCTCCCTTCCTTCCATTCTCTCTAACAATCAATGGAAAAATATCATTGGGAGAGGATTAACAAAAATAAAATAAAGAAATAAAAGGCATATAAATTGGAAAGAAAGAAATCTGTCATTATATATATATATATAAAAATTATATATAGAAAACCCAAAAGACTCTGCCAAAGAAGTACTAGAACTAGTAAATGAATTCAGTAATGTTAATAGGATACAAAATCGATACACAGAAATCTGTGGTGTTTCTATATATTAACAAGTTCTCAGAAAGAGAAATTAATAATCCCATTCATAATTACATCAAAGAGAGTAAAATACCTAGGAATAAATTTAAGGTGGTGAAAGACCTATACATTGAAAAGTATAAGACTGATTAAATAAATTGAGGAAGACACAAGTAAATGGAAAGATACTCTGCTCATGGATTGGAAGAATTAATATTGTTAAAATGTCAATATTACACAAAGCAACCTACAGATTTAGTGTAACCCCTAACAAAATTCCAGTGACATTTTTCGAAGAACTAGAACAAAGAATTCTAAAATTTGTATGGAATTACAGAAGATCCTGAATAGCCAAAGCAATCTTGAGAAAGAATATTGAGAAAGAACAAAACAAAGAACAAATCACACTTACTGATTTCAAATTATACTACAAATCTGTAGTAATCAAAACAGTATTGTATGGACATAAAAACAGACACTCAGATCAATGGGACAGAATTGAGATCCCAAAATTAAACCCACACATATATGGACAATTAATTTACAACAAAGGAGCCAAGAACATACAGTGGAGAAAGGACACACACTTTAATAAATGGTGTTCGGAAAGCGACTGCCACATGAAAAGAATGAAACTAGACCACTATCGTATACCATGCAAAAAAATTAAAATGGATTAAAGACTTGAATATAAGACCGGTAATTATAAAATTCCTAGAAAATAACATAGTTAGTGAGCTCCTTGATACTGGTCTTAGCAATGATTTTGTGGATATGATTTAAAAGGCAAGGGAAACAAAAACAAAAATAAATGGGATTACTTCAAACTATAAGGTTTCTGCATAGCAAAGGAAACCATCAGCCAAATGGAAAGGCACCCTAGTGAATGGGAGAAGATACTTGAAAATCTTACATCTGATATTGAAAATATATAAAAACCTCATATAACTCAGTAACATAAATCAAACAACCAATTAAAAAATGGGCAGAGGATCTGATTAGACAGTTTTCCAAAGAAGACATACAGATGGCCAACGGGCACATGAAAAGATATTCAACATCACTAATTATGAGGCAAATGCAAATCAAAACCACAATGAGCTATCACTTCATATGTGTTACATTGACCATTATAAAAAAGATAAGAAATAACAAGTGTGGGAGAGGATATGGACAGAAGGTAACCTGCCTGGCTGGTGTGGCTTGGTGGTTGAGTATTGATCCAGGAACCAAGAGGTCACTTATTAGATTCCTGGTCAGGGCACATGCCTGGGTTGCGGGGCTCGGTTCCCAGTCGTGGGGTGTGCAGGAGGCAGCTGATTGATGATGTTCCTCTCTCATTGATGTTTCTATCTCTCTATGCCTCTCCCTTCCTCTCTCTCTAAAAAAAATCAATAAAAACATATTAGAGCAGTGGTTCTCAACCTTCCTAATGCCGCAACCCTTTAATACAGTTCCTCATGTTGTGGTGATCCCCAATTTCATTGTTACAAATTGAACATAATTAAAGCATAGTGATTAAGCGCAAAAACAATATGTAATTATATATGTGTTTTCCGATGGTCTTAGGCGACCCCTGTGAAAGGGTTGTTTGATCCCCAAAGGGGTCGCGACCCACAGGTTGAGAACCGCTGTATTGGAGAGAGAGAGAGAGAGAGAGAGAGAAGGGAACTGTATTATACTATTAATAGGAATGTAAACTGGGTGCAGCCACTATAGAAAACAGTAAGCAGATTCCTGAAAAAAATAATAGAATTACAGTATGACCCAGCAATTCCACTTCTGGGTTTTATCTGAAGAATACAAAAACACTGATTTGAAATGATATATACACCCCTATGTTTATTGTAGCATTATTTACAATAGCTAAGATATAGAAACAATGTAAGTGTCCATCTATAGATGAATAAAGAAGAAGTGGTACATATATACAATGGAATACTATCTCTATATATAAAAGCCAAGCGACCAGAACGACCAGAATGACTGGTAGCTATGAAGTGCACTGTGGCGGCCAACTGCCCTGATCGGGGCTCTTATCAGGCCCCCTCTCCCAACCTCCTGTGGCCCTCTCTGGCCGGCTCAGGCCCCAATTGGCCCCCTCACCCCGATCGGGGGCGGGGCTGGCTGGCCAACCTCCCGTGGCCCCTCCTCCCCAGCTGGCCCGGCCCCAATCGGCCCTGGATTCGTGCATGAATTCATGCACTGGGCCTCTAGTTTAGTCATAAAAAGGTGAAAATTTCCCATTTGGGACAGTGTGGGTGGACCTTGAGGATATTATGCTAAGTGATATCTCTGATGAAGAAAGACAAATACTATATGATTTCACTTATGTGGAATCTAAAAACAAATAAAATACAACAAAAACAAACTCTTAGATACAGAGAACAGATTGGTGGTTTCCAAAGGGGAGGAGGGTTGGAGGTGGGTGAAATGGTGAAGGGGGTCAACTCTAGGGTGATGGATGGTAACTAGATTTTTAGTAGTGATCACATTGTAGTGTATACAGATGTTGAAGCATAAAGTTGTACACCTGAAAGATATATAATGTTATATGCTGATATTATATCAATAAAAAATAAAAAAGTATCCTTATCCCTAATAAATATATTCTACGCGAGTAATAACCAA